AGCAACCATATAAGTTATTACTATTATAAAAATTTTTCGAGTGACCTAGGGTAATACCATGCACATTCCCGTGTATGAGGATCAAAACATTTGGCAATAAGATAAATAGATTTGGGAAAAGTCATGATGTTGCACGAGTTTGGTTAATACCTGTGTATATATAACATCAATCTTTACAGATACGGCGCCAAAATAACCATGGGTGAACGAAAAAATATAGGTACAAAAGGGAGATAATAAAACAGTCAACTTCGTGGAGTAACAATTTTTGTTTGTTTACTGCACGCCATTTTGAGGGTTTTTTTCGTTTTTGTTTATTTTTGGGATTGTAGACAGGAGGTGATGCATTCGCGCCGCTGACTTCGGTTCGATGCCATATCACGCAGTGTTTCTAGCCAAAGACAATCTGAATATTTGGGGCCCCACCCGGGGAGCCGGGAAATCCCAACGGAAGCCAGATCCGAGCACAATCTTGTTAACCCTCTGCGGCACGTCATAGCCTACCCAGTTCGTTGTTTCTTCCAGCCTGGACCGATGTCTGCGAATAGTGCGCGGTGTGTCAGACGTTGTTTAGGCATTCGTAGGACGTGCTCTAGCCACTTAAGACGATGCAGTGAAATTATTTTGCTCAAAGGAAGACTATCTGATCCTAACACCCGTCGTCTGACTTCATCGTTATTCACGCGATGCTTCACCATACGCACGAATATTGAGTAGATATGCAGGTGCCACTGTTTGTAAGATTCAGTTATATCGCTCAGTGTCGTCAACCAACGGTTACCAAAATCTTGAGGTCCCCATCTAAGAAGTCCAACGGGGTCTACGTGACCGAGTCTGCTGGTTAGGGTTTTCGTGCCCTCAACTGTAGTGGGTATCCTGGGCAGTTGGGGAGTGTGCTTACAGCTAAAATTCGGAAACAAATGGTCGATCGGGAATGATCCAACCACGTTGGAGACCTAACAGTTGGCATAGACCCCCCATACACACCCGCAGCATAACAACCATAATTATGAGAATCATGATTGAGGTTTCATGAGAAATTCGCACCGAGTGAAGAATAAACAGAATCACACGTTTTGAATCGGTCATTCCATTGCGTTAACAAACGACCAGTACGAAAATGCATACATAGCCCTTTTTCTCACAACTATATAAAAAATTGAAAATAAGATATTGAAACTCACCAATTAGACTGGTTCCAATATTGTGCCGGGTTTTGGTGTTCCGGAGTCATATTTCGTCGAGATGCCACAGTACAACCACTTGCACCCCCTTCTCCAGTGGTACCGCTATGAAACACACCAACACTAACCCGAGAGGACCAGGTATGCGGATTGTTAGACTGGGTAATTGAGTAAAATGTCACAGCTTGTACGGCGCAAGCATGTACATCTAACACATACTGCAAATCAGTCTCGTTTGGTGCATGACGCATGGCAACAAAAGGTTCCGGGTAAATTTGATGTTTATCAAACAGTGGCGGACGTTCCAAGCGGTTGTCTGTGAGCGGTTTCAATTCCAAAGATTCCAATGAGAAAGACAAAGTATCAGCTAGCTCTCGGCCGTTTCCATCTTCGCTGATTGATTCCAGCTGTGAGCCATGTGCGTGTATATGATAAAAACAAGAATATGGATGTTACTCATATATATTTGTAACACAGAATTAAGATAGCTTATTAGATGGGGAGATCGACCTCAAACATTCTCGAGGAGTCTATTTGCTGAATCCATCATCCGGAATGCAGAAAACACTTATGTTGGTAGAAACAAATGGCATATTCCCTGTTCTGGACTATCATGTGATTCAACACTCGCAACGTTTGTTCGATTGGGAGCCTTAGATCAGTGTAGTCTCACGTTCAACATTTAGCTTGAACGGTGGATTCTCCTGACTCGACAGTGATGGCCATCGAGCGAAGCATGTTCGCTTTGAACATATTTGATAAAGCCTCTTTCAACGCTTTAGCGAATGAAGAAGCAACGCAAGAACAAACCAGAACTGTCACCAGGAAGCGGGAGAGTCCCAGTAATGAGAGAAAGGGGTTGTTGTACGCACCGGCATAAATTCCCCACTTCCAAAACGGGTTGAACGAGTCCAGAAGACCTCAACTGATGGCATCTTGAAAGGTCCGTGCTACATCTGTTTTGCGGATTGGGTTCAGACAACACTATTACTACACTATCACTACTTTAATACTACTAATTTAAGCGAAAAACAAAAGTGGTTTGGATAATGTTGGTCGATAGTGTACGTGATGGAACGCAAACTGATGATTACCTTATTCAGAGGCAGAAATAACCTCGACGAACGCAACAGAATATGAAGATTCAAATTGGAACTAAGCGCCTGTTGTGGATGACCGGAAAATTTGGCAGAATTCTCAGTGTTGTCATTCATGGTCAAAATGGTAACAATTTGACGGGAAAGCTCGATCAACGCAGGACATAGGACCACATCCACTGGACTGCACAAGATTCGCACATTCCAACGGGACGCATCTGCATCACTGGCAAAGGAGTTTTCGGTTACACCTCGCTCGGTACGATTCATCGATGCCGTACAAGACAAGATGGCTACCGGTGCTCGAACAGCCGGTGCTTGGATCGCACTTTGACATTCGTGGTGCTTGACATGGATTGGATTGGAGGTAGATCGGGCACGTGGTGTTCGTGGGGATGTGGGCGTGCTGTTTTCTGTGTCTGAATCGGCTAACTGGCTGCGACGGGAACCTAATTCACATGAACGCGACGCGGTTGGGTGCCGGATATCACCGTTACTCCTTTGGGGATCGAGTGGGCCTGGGCAATGGGTGCAATCTTGAAAAGGTTTGATTGCAGACTCAAATGAGCTGAGCACTGGGATAGACCATCTGACTCAAACAATGGATGGGCAAACGAAATAGCAGATGAAAGAGGTATAATACAAAACGCTATGAATCATAAGTACTGTCGCCTGGGGTATAATTCTGAACAACGAATTGAAAGATAAGCGAGCGCAAATAAAGTGACAGATATAAGTGCAGTAAATAATTTCTTCTCTCTACATCGCTGTAATAATCCGTAGAAGTGGATTCTATTCGAAAAAGATCGAATCTCCGAAACTTATGCAAGCGCGAAATCGGACCGGGTGACACCGGGGCCATAATTGTTCAACTACTCACACCGGGTAAATCTACACAGATGATCAAATCCTCCCACACGTTTACCTGTTATCGATGCGGGACCAAACACAGTACACCGTCAGAATGTCGTCACATACACAGTGTTTGTCATAAATGTGGTAAACGAGGGCATATAGCGCGTGTGTGTCGATCGAAAACTTCCGCTACACCAAGTGGTTCAGATAGGATCA